TTTGTCTACCCGGAACAAAGCTAACCTGATTGGGGCTTATCAGGGTGGACATCAGAGGCCTTAAACGAGCAACAATGATTTTGGACAGGACCTTGTAGAGGGTGCAGCATAAACTTATGGGGCGGAACTGGGCCATTGGTTGAGGGCTGGCCACTTTAGGGACCAGAGTTATCAGAGTATCATTCAGCCCTTCAGCCACATGACAGTCTGCAAAGGCTTTGGAGACCATATCAATAATATCTTTTCCACATAATTCCCAGTACATTTGATAGAAGCTTGCAGGGAAGCCGTCAGCACTAGGGGCTTTTAGACTGCCAATATTAAAAAGGATGTCCTTAACTTCCACAGCATCAACATCTCTCGTGAGGAGGTTAAGATCCACACTAGCAATAGTAGGAAAAAGATTAGGAATATGCAGGTCGCATTGCACATCCTGGGTCTGGGTGAACAGATTGGAGAAGTATCGGGCAGCTAAAGCCTTGATATCATCAGCATTTTCAACCCAATCACCATTATCATTTTTCAGTCTTTCAATTCTGTTCTTTCTCCTCCTTATAATTGTAGTCATGTGGAAGAAATTAGTGTTCCTATCCCCATTTTGTAGCCACTGTATTCTGGATTTTTGGCGCCAAAAAACAGATTCATACTCAAGTAAGGTGTTGTACTCATCCACTAGGGAGCTTTCCAGCTGCTGAAGAAACCTGTTTGAGCCCGAACATAGCACCTTTTGGATGCCATTGATTCTAGCTAGGAGTCTCTCTTTCCGTTGTTTTAGATGACCAAAGATCTGGATGTTCCAAAGCTTAAGGGGTTCCACCAACCCATAAGATTTCACCCATACTGGGCCAGAGAGCTGTTGCCATTTTTGGGTTATAAAGTCCTTGAACCCCTCATGCTTAAGCCACATAGCCTCAAACCGGAAGGGCCGATTAGCTGGGGAAGAAGCAAAACCAGATTTTAAGCATAGCTTGATAGGGTTGTGGTCAGACTTAGTCCGAGGTAAATGCTTAACATGGGCCTCTGAAAATAGACTTCTCCACCCCATATTGCAGATAGCTCTATCAAGACGTTCGAAAACCCGCTTATTTGTCCAAGTGTACTTAGGACCATAAAAGCCAAGATCAACCATGGCATTATTGTCAAACCACTTTCTGAAACCTTTCTGTCTGATGTTCAGGGCACCGCCTAGTTTGTCCTCAACATGTAGCAGTTCATTAAAGTCTCCAGCAAGGACCCATGGCAGTTGATGACAGCTACTTACAAAATCAAGATACTCCCATAGTTTTTCTCTTTTAGGACCACAGGGGCTAGCATAAATAGTAGTAAGAAGCCAAGGGTTTTTCCCGGGACTAGTCACGCAAGCTGTAATAGATTGGTCAGTTGTGCCAAGGATTTCAAGATGAACAGTTGTATCCTTCCATAAAAGCCAAAGGCCACCAGAAAAGCCAACAGCGTCAACAATCTCATAGCAAGGGAAACCAAGAGACTGCACTGTATCGGCTGCTTTCTTTCCGCTGATTCGAGGCTCACAGAGAAAAAGGATATCAACATGGTGATTGTGGGTTAATTCCATCACGGTGGGTCTGAATTTGGTGCTGGCAGCACCTCGAACGTTCCAACAGATAATAATCATTAAAAGAGGAGGGCAGAAAAGGGAGAACTTGCAAGGCTAATCCCTTGGCGCTTCCACGTTGGCAGCTTGGGCTTGGCCTTCCATAAGGTCCATTTCTTGATCTAGGGAGGTTTCCTCATGAGGATCAGGGATCGAAGTGTTGGCATCCATGTAGGTGTCAGGCTCTTTCCCAATCTCTTCATTGCTGCCATCTATGTTGGGGGGTTCGTGACCAAAAATATACAACCTTTTTTCTTTATACGTGTTTTGTCCACTGACCCAGTTGGATAACTGGGCATTAATTGAGATCTTATTTAAGGCTGGCCTTCCTCCAATCACTGATTTTCCAGTAGAAAACCCAGCTTTAGAGGTTGAGCAACTCGGGGGTTCCTCATGTTTTGAACCCAGGCTCATGGCACTCTGCTTCTAGACTGGCAAGTTTGAAATTTCATTCAGCACTGATCTAGTACCAGACTTGGCGACCTTGGATTTTGTCCAAACTTTCTTCCCAGGATTAGCCGTCCATTTTGAGGTATCTGTAATAAATGGCTGTTTCTGGCTGGCATTCCTAGCATCTCCTACAGCATCACACTCTGTATTGCCATCCATTTCTCTTAAGGCTTCAAATCTGGACCCATGACCTTTGCCTCCTGAGGGCCTGTCTTGTCCTTCCGTAGCTCTCGCTTTAGGTTTCCTTCTTGGGGGCACGTTCATCCATGGCCTTCTCAGCCCTTCGATTTCTGCCATAGATTTCTCATTTATCAGGTTGTCCCATAGCTTCCGCATCAGCTGTACTTGGAGATTTATTATTTTTCCCCGCAGGATCTGTCTTGAGGCTACAAGCCTCTTTCTTGTGTCCATAGTGCCCACACAAGTAGCAGATTTCTGGGAGGCCCTCGTACTCAATGTTATACCAAACATGGTTAATCTGAACAAAGGCATCTAAGGGTTTGGTCAGATCGAGTTCCACACATAGTCTGGCGAATTTTCCCCTGTTCTGAGCAGTGGTGAGGGCATCAATCTTCAGGAGTTTCCCTAGCAGGTTTCCAATCCGTTTCAATGCCCAAATATCAAAACATTCTAATTGTATAGCTGAGACACGGATCCAAGCTGCCATTCTAGTAATGTGGGCAGTTGCTGGGCAGAACCCAGGACGCCACTTTTGCATCACTAGATACTGACCTGATATTATCCACGGTCCTCCTGTAAGAACAAAGTTAAGATCTTCCTCCAGATCAAATTTGGCAACAAACTAGTCATTCACAAGATCAATTAATTTCCATCCCCCCTTCAGGTTCCATTTCTGTTGTAGGCGGGCATGGAGGAAATTGTAGGTGTGAGGTCTGCCAAGGAGTTTGATAATGAGCGCATTTTGCCATGGCTCACATAGGCGAGACATAGCTTTTTCAGAGAACTGTATGCAAGGGCCACGCTCTTCGCGAGAGGTCACCACATCCTCCTCATCATTCAGATCTGCATAGTCCGTCTCCAAAGAGTTCACGTCAACCCCGAGGTTCTTTGCCATGGTCATCTTATTCATGAGTTTATCCTTGAAGATGCAAGAGAAGGTAGGGGGATTTGGTAGCTGGGCTGGTTCAGTAGGAGCTGGCGACTGCTGTGTGCACTCCATCTCACAATCTGCAGCAGACTCAGTGGATGCTCTGCTTCTCTTGGTCAACCGGGCATTTAGAGGGGTAGCTCCAAGTTAGCCCTCTTCCATGTCCCCACAAAGGCAGGCCACTGGGCCGACGACGTTGGTCAGTCTGGTCTGGGCAAACTCAAAGTTTCGTGGCGGCTAGGTCTTTTGCAAGAAGAGTGCCTTTTTGATTTTTTTTCTTTTGAAGCCCACACCTCTTTAGTTTATTTCTTTCTTGGATTCCTATGCTGCCAGTGCCATGCGTTATGTTTTTATTTTATTTGCTCTCTTGTTCTACTCTTTCTTTTGACAAGATTGCTTACTGCAACACATCTTTCATTAAAATATATATATATATATATATATATATATATATATTTCTGTCCTATCTTTTTATTGTCGTTTTTTCCTTTTGTCTGTTTGTCGACTGCGTGACCGTTCTCTCTTTCTTGCTGCATTAAATCTCACTTGCCACCACCATCATATCGTCTTTCATAGCCTGCAAACAAAGCCACACTGAAGACAAAATGAAAAGAGAACAAGTTTCCAACCAAGAATGCTGGCTTAGCAGAGAGAATGCTATCTTCATGTTGTGAGGATGCTTCACAAGTGTCTATTGGAGAGATTAAACCAACAGATGGTTCTTGTTCCTTGCAATTGAAGCGGCCTTCTAAATCAAGAACACCACCTGGTTTCTGGAATTTCCTTGAACGATATGGTTTTCGTTATGGTGATGGCCACATACGAACTTTGCTTCCTTGTGAGGTGATGGAGATGCTGAAAAGAATCCATCAAGAGACCAGGAAGAAACTTTCTGCTAAAGGCTATTTTCCTCAAGATGGATACATCTTGTCTCAAATACCTGTCCCTCCAAACTGTTTGTCTGTGCCTGAAATTTCCGATGGTGTTAGTGTTATGTCTGCGGATCCTTCAATATCAATGCTTAAAAATAAAAATAAAACTCTTATGTTTTCCCACACAACATCTCAACACATCTGGAAACAGCAACGCAAGCTTTGCAGCTAATTTCTAACCCAAGCAACTCGGGGGCTTCCTGCCAAACAAAATCAGAGAAAGGAAGAAAGTCATGCCAAGCAAATCTAACAAAAGGAAGAGTCAAATGCAAATCCAAATGACTTGGGAGCTTCCTACCAAGCAAAATCAGAGAAGGAAGAAAGTCGTGCCAAGCAAATCTATTAAAAAAAATATTAATAGGAGTGTATACAACTCTTCAAGCAAATCCAAGCTATATACTTTCATCCTTCACTATTTCCGGAAGAAGGTAGTTGGTGCTGGAAGGAGGGAAATTGGTGCTGGAAAGGGGAAATTAGTGCTGAAAAGGGAAATTGATGCTGGAAAGGGAAATTGGTGCTGGAAAGAGGAAATTGTTGCAGGAAAGAGGAAATTGATGCTGGAAAGGGAAATTGGTGCTGGAAATAGGGAAGCATAATTTGCAGGCAACAAAAAATCCACTTTCATGCTATCAAACTCACGGCGAATTAAATTTCTCATGCTTTGGAGCTTCTCAACAAAAGAATACGTTAGCCAAAATCAAGCACCGGAAAGGTTCTCATAAACAAAGGGAGGCGCCGGAAGCATAAATTTCCCCAATCAAGTCATAATTTTCCCAGTCAAGTCAAGGTGCAAGCGACCAACACTCACCTTCATGCTATCAAGTTAATAGCAAATTCACAGGGCATAATACCAATCCACATGCCAAGCAATTACATTCCATTAAGGTATTCCAAGCAATTTATGCCTTTCAAGCAAATTGACGAATTCATGCTCTCGCAACAATACCATTCAACATCATGTTACAACAATATCGCTCAAAATCATGTTTTAGAAATATCCAGAGCACTCAATGCCAAGATAAAGGAGATGCTCAATTCTCAAAATTCAAAGCAACATGCCAAGCAAGATAGATACATGAGGTCATTCGGTGGGGGAGAATTCCTTGCTGAGAACTAGAGAAAGCCCAAATACCCAAATTTCTGGAGTAGTAGCGGTTGTTCGTTACACTCTACAAGTTTCCAGCACCTTCAAGTCCTCCAGCTATAAGAAAAGCATTTCAAGCAGTGTTATAAGCATTTCCAGCAGCTATGAACTATAAACACGCAATTTACTCACGAAAAGGCTAAATCATGCACATATGGCTAGACATAAATGACCCAACCATGCCAAATTCAAAGCAGCCATGCAGACAAATTATCCGGGCCAACTATCAGGATTATTCATATATGACCAAGACATGCCATTTCATCATATATATTCACCATCATTCAAGTTGTTGTAGTGCCAAGGCAACCAAAGAAGGAGGCCCTCCCCATTTTGAAGCAAGCTCCTGGAAAAATAAATAAATAAATAAATAAATGCAGGACAGCAAGCAAGCAAGCAGAACAAACACAATCAGCCCTGCAAAGATAAAAGAGACAAGCCTGCAGAGCAACTTCTTCAAATTCCAAAATCTGGAAATTCACATAAAGCAGCCAAGCTAAATCCTACAATGGCGTAGGAAAGCAAATTAGTGAATGAGGCCAATGCTCAATGCAAAAACATGTCAAGCAAAAGTTATACACAAGCTTTCCAACCATTCTAGCTGGAACATCCAGACTTTGGAAAATCACTAGAAATCAAGCTTACAGCCAAAAAATCCCAAACTTTCCAGATCAAAACTAGACACATCAAGCTTCATTTTCGCAAAATTTCATTTCATTTGGTGCTAGGGAAGCATGCCAAACAGATTCCCAAAATAAGCCATGCAGCAGAAACTGCACCATTTCAGCAGCTTAATCCTTACTTTGAAATTTCACCAAATATTCATTTTTGCTTCAAATTCCACAAAACCAATTCCAATGTAACCATCGAGAAATCTACTTTCATGTGTCAAAAGCTCCAGTTCAAATTCAAAGGAAAAAGTTTCGGAAAGTCACAGGACATCCACAGGGTACTTTGAGATTTTTTCACAAACACTTAGCATGCATTAATTAGGAAAGCTTGTGTAGGGTTTGTTCATCACCAAGTTAAAGCCCTCCATCATAAGCTCAAACTCAGGATTCAATGTCTAATTCACGAACTATGGGAAATACAGAGGAACTCAAGCATTCAAGCATGGAAAATAAGCATGCAACAAAGGAATCAACATCAATTGAGGAACATACTTCCGAAAAATGAAGCCGTAGGACATTACAATGGTCGGATGATTCTGAATTTTGGATATGATTTAAACAACACAATTTCAAGCAACTTTCATGAAGATATCGAAATCATCCAAGCAGCAAATATTAAAAAACAAGTGTAGAAAACCGAACATGCAGATGCTCACCAGCCATGAATGAACACAGACATTGTGGAGCAGGTTCAGGCATCCAACAAAATTCAAGAAATTCTGAAATTTTTACAGCCTATAATAATCGAGCAGATGATCAACTTTGGTGAAGAAAGTTTTCTGATATGAGTTTCCAAAATATCACTTCTCCATGCTGAAATTTTGGAGACAATCCCACGTGTGTCTACAATCAGTTTTTCAGTGTGTCTACATATATACAATTTCTGCCTAAGTAAATAGTCTCCAATGGCAGAATCATAAATCCAAGCAAAAGTGGTGGCGGAATTGGAAATCCAGGAAACTTTCATGGCAGAATCGTAAATCCAAGCAAAACTGGTAGAAGAATTGGAAATCTAAGAAAAATTGGTGGCTGAACCGTAAATCCAAGTAAAAGTCATGTCAGAATTCGAAATCTAAGTAAAAGTGGTGACAGAATTGTAGATTCAAGCAAGATTGGTGGCAGATGTAAATACAAGCAAACTCAGTGGCATAATCATAGATTCAGACAAGACGGGGAAGCAATTCTTGGCGATCCGAAGCACTTTCTGCAAAACACCAAAAACAATCCAGATTGTGAAACTTGGAAAATCAAAAAATCATCAACAAATAATGTAGAAGTAAAGAATCAGTGGCATGATCGTGAAGAAAAATCATGCTACCATTGCAACAAGGTCTAGCCCAAGCCACACCATGCAATGACTGAAGCAAATACCAAGAAGCCTATGCTGCAAAAGATTTAAAAGGATTAATATCATTTTTACAAGATATCACAAGCACAACAAGCATACAAAAAAAACACACAAGTCAATGCAATTCTTACAAACCATGCTAAATCAAGCATCTCTAGTCCCTCAAGCAAACGAATCGTGCAAGCTAAGTTATTTCGAGCTAAATAACAAATTCTACCAAGCATTATCTTTTCTAGCATGCCAACTTTTGGTAACTCCAGTAACCTCTGATGTTACAGTGTCTAGGAAAGTTCTTCAAGGCGACACCTTTGGTGTCTAAGAAGATTGGGTTTTAAGTGGGACCATTGTGACCCCTCCAACCTTCCCGGAAAAGACCTGGCTGTGATTTCGAAACAATTAATCGGAAATAACCAGCCATGCCATGCCACTGCCGTTCATTTTGGGCTAGAAATTGATTATTCGGACCATTTCAAAGCTCTTTCATGGCCCCAATAATCAAGGGGGCTAATGTTGAGGCCCAAAATGTTACAAGAAGCCCAAAGATAATTCAAGCCCAATATAACATGTAAAGTTGGTCATGCGTTAATCTCAGCTGTATGTCGGGAATTAATTCATTTAATAAATATAGAAATAGTGTACATGCCATGCTAAGCAAATAATACATTTTCTTATGCTAAACCACCCGACAAGCTTAAGTGGGCCCAAGCCACATACATCTCTGGGGCTTGCTGAGCGGGTTGTGGTGTGGATAGTTACAAGGATCCATGAGGCCCATTAAAGGTTCAAAAGAATGGAGGTTTTGGGCTGCTTGGGAGCCCAAAAACCCAAGCCCATTTTCTTGAGCCCGTTGAATGGGTAAGCAGAGAGAACACGGCCAACCTTGCAGCATTAAAGCACTGACCCTCTTCTACCAGCATAAAAACCAAAGCTATCACGCGTTTTCCTCGAGCACTTAACCTACCAGCATTAAAGCCCAGCTTTCACTGTCTCAACGATCCTTATTAAAAGCCTTAGACCAACTGCTGCTCCTCGAATGCCTATAAAAGGAGGCCTTAACCAGGAAACCAGGGGGAGGCGGCATGAGCAAGCATATTCTCATTGCTGCCGGAAATCACCCAGCTTCAGCCATTCCAAACCTAGAAACAAGCCCCAGCTATCCCAAGCTCAAATATACCAAACCAAGTAGAGGCAAGCTTATCCTCCACTTTCCAGAAAACCCATTGCTGTAAACACACAAAGCCCAAGCCTTCCTCCATCATCACTCTCTAATTTATCATAACTCAATTTTATGCAAGAATACTAAGAGCCAATACATTTGATGTAATCTCCTTAGAATACATTTCGTATATGATATATAAAGGGCAAATTTATTTTGTTATCTTTTACATTGTATGAAGAAACAAATGTCCAGGGTATGCTAAATAAGAGATAAAGTACTCTAAAGAAGATTAGATTCATGAGACCTTTAATCTCTAATTGTAGCATCCCAAATGTTCCTAATCATAGGTTATCAAATGGGCATTGATCAACCGTCAAGATTAGCACATATTATGTATGCTCATTTGGGAGGATGGTTAGTCTCAAACCATTTGTGTAGTTGCCACTAATACAAGTATGTGGGTGCTCATTAGTGAATGAGTACACTGAACGCGATCAACTGTAGTTCTCATATGGAGTATTTGTCTACATATCAAATGAGAACTCATAGTTGCAATAATGCAAATTAGTCCTTAGACCTGAGGGATCATGGTTGTCCTGTGATGCGTTATTGATCTTTGATAGCTCTTAAAGGCAAGCCGTAAAAGATTTGTCTTAAGTGTTGTTGGGATCTCTTAATTCATCATAGGGGCATGTGAATGTACAATAAGGAATCTCTACTTTCGATAAAGAAGGAGAATGTTTCAAGATGTGATTCAGTAAATCTTTGGCCAAAGTATTTTGAGCTTGATTTAGAAAGTTGTTCTTAATCATGTTCTTTTGAATCACATGAGGTTATAAATCATATTAGGGGTTTGACATAAACAATCCGTACCCTAATAATATGATTTGAAACATTGTATAAGAGAAGGACCGTATTGCATTGTAATTCCAACTGAATAGGTTCTTCATCTATTCTGGTTAGCTTGGGTAGCCTTGATATATTGCTAGATGTCACTCTTGGCTTGTGGAAGTCCTAGGATTGATTGTGATCGATCCAAATAAAGGAAGAATTAAAAAGGGGTTTTAATTCCAGTTGGTTAGAAAGAGTTCTTATATTTTCCCACTGCCTTGCTAATTAGAACCTAATGGATCGCACACCTTAAATGGTTAACTTTGAGTAATACAAATGAGAATGAGGAAATCAATTTGATTGATTTGATGTGGATGATTTACAACGTGTAAAAACATATTTGGGCCTCGGTAATAGTTAACGGGAAGCCCAAATGGTTGGGTATCAAGCCCAAGGGCTTAAGACAACTAAATATTATGGTTTAAGTGTCATAAGGCCCAATTTTGGAAGCCCAATGGGGTTTGGCCGAAAATGCTTAAGTGAATGTGTATGGGAATTGTTTCCATAAGCTCATTTGACACACAAACACAATCCAACATCAACCAAATAGGTTTGGGAGAGAAAAAGAGAGAGAAAGAGAGTTTTCAAGAGTGAAACACTTTCATTTTTCAAAGTGGTTTAGATTGAAACCAATCTTGAGAATCTTGCACTAGCATACAAGTATTCTCAAGATACTTCTTCTCATCTCAAGGTTCCATTGGTGTGGAGACTTAGAGGCCATATACTTTTGTGGCTCACATGGAGGAGAAAGATCAAGGAGCAAAGATCAAAGATCAAAGAAGAGATCAACAAAGAGGAAATCATCAAGAGAAGGCCAAACACAAATTGGTTCATATAATTGCTTCAAGGGTAATTAGATCTTATCATTTCTCTTGAATTTTCATTTATGAAAAACATATCAATGTTCATGACTTAAGATACTTGGAAGAAGTTTTGTTTTTGAATTTAAACAACCACCATAGACTTCCGTTGCGATTAATTTGATTAAATGCATGTTTAATATTCAAATGAACTTTGGAAAAATGTTTTGAAAATCCTACAGAATAAACACTGTGTTCCATTCCAGGGATGTTTTCAGGGATGGAATTTTTCAGTTCTTGCAAGGCAGTATTCCATTCATGCTTGCCATTACTTGGTAGAAGAGCTTTCCCAACAGTTATGATAGCAATGGGTAAACCTTTGCATTCATCAACAATCAATTTTGCAACATGAGACAAATCAAGATTATTGTCCAAGGATTCACCTACAGTCGCCTTGAAAAGCTCCCATGCTTCTTCTTTATTTAAGGCTTGGACTCTAAAAATGTCATCTTTACAACTCATTACTTTACAAACTTCTTCATTTTGAGATGTCAACAAAATTTTGCACCCTTCATGATCACCAAAAGGGATTCCTACATCCTGTAATTTAAGCTCTGACCAAACATCATCCAATATAATCAGGATTCTTTTACTCTGCTTGATTCTCTCATGTAGCCTTGGTGCTCTTCTAGATTCACTTTCCTCGAAAAATTTCATACCCAGTGAGTCTGCAATGTCAGTTTGAATTGTCCTAATGTTTACAGTTGCGAAGACAGTTGCCATCACAACATCATCAAATAGACTCGTTCCTTCTAATCTCTTGATGATTTCTCTCACCATTGTGGTTTTACCCACACCTCCCATCCCTCAAATCCCAATTATTCTTGTCTTTTCATTCCTCAAAGCACTAAGCACATCATTCATGACATCTTTTCTGGATTCAAAACCCTTAAAACCTTCACTAGAGATTATTAACACTAGCTGTTGAGGATTGGCAACATTATTGCTCAGTTCTTCGTCTAGTTTGAGATCAAGTACACGCTGAGCAATCTTCTTGGCTTCCCTACTTAGAGAATACCGAGATTTCAAACTTGGGCACCACGTTTGCACGTTGAGTTTTGTTTGAAGTTCTTCCGCTTCATGAAATATTTTGCTTACATCCTCCAGCCAGCTCTGAACTTGATCTTTGATGGTTGCACCATTCCTTATTGCAGCATCCACAGATCTTTGAACATCATTTTTCTTGTCATTAAGCTTTTTAAGTGCATCCCTCAGACTTTCTATGTTAGAATCATAGTAAATTAGATAGCTGAGTTGTCTCCCAATTAGTGCCACTGGTTCCTCTCCAAGTTGAGATGCAATTGAAGTAACAATCTCTACCATTTTCTGTTGCCTTTTTATATAAAGCTGCCAAAGACTAAGGAAATTCTCAAACCAAATGAAACTGTTGCAAGCGACTCCACACCTACAATTTTTATTATGAAAAAGTAAGGTAAACCAACCAAAACCCCACCAATCAAGCCTCATAACATTTTCAACCAAAAAAAAAAAGAAAAGTCTCATAACATTAAAAAAAAAAAAAAGTATTGTCATAGTAACAAGAACAAACAGTACACGTTGCACACTTAAAAATTTGGGTCGAATTCCAACTCATTATTTATAGATACTAGTCATTGATTTTATTG